AACGTTTTCACCTTTGATAGTAAAAATGCCTTACAGTATACTCGTATTGTACTTAGGTACTATCGCTTTCCGTTCTCTTCAAACCGGAATGCAGCACTGGATACATCGCTGCCTATTTTAGTTAGTACCCAAGTGAAAGGTGTCCCTGACGGATTTCTAAGCATAAGTGGATACCTACTAATTATTAATGTAAACACGATACAAATTATTTTGCCTTGCAGGCAAGCCAACGTTAACACGCAACCTACACCTCCGTATCCAAGTGTTTGGATACTGTTAATGAACTCATTTGCATACACTATCAACATTCATATAGATCCGAAAAGCGAAATGTATGGTTTCTTAAAAATATTGACATCGAATGGATTTAAATTATGGACTTGGCACAAACAAACAAACATTCCTCATAGATTCTAAGTGTGGACAGTATGTTTGTAATACTTAAGAATACTTTAATATTTATGATAGATAGTTAGATAATGTAGCAATACGATCAAGTTTTGCGATCTCTATTCTCTATTCTCTATTATCATAAAACGTTCTGCAGTGCCAATATTATAAATAGACTCGTTCAACACAAGTGACACCTCGCTTCAGCCGGGTAGTCCTGCTGATCGACGTTTACTTATTTTTGTAACAAACCAATTTACATTCCACCTGATGGTAAGTCGCTACTGCAGTCCATAGACACCTGCAGCTAACTTCAAACTACAGAAGCGTTGTCACCTCTGAGGACTAAGTTGTTATTTCTCACAGCCTGTTATACTAGCTATCTATACTTTTTACAACTCAGCTGTGGAAGCACAGCGATTTGGCCGTAGGAATAGATAAAAGGATGGTATCTATCCAAACGGACTCTGAGGTATAAATGGAGTCCTACTACCTTGTAATAAACTACATATTTGAGGCGGGAACACAGGGTTGCGTGCACTTGGTTGCAGAAATAGCGGTGCGTGCATTTGGTTGCAGAAATAGGTAACCTACCCAGACGAACTTGTAGATAGAAAACCTCGTAAAATAATATGATAATTCAATTATAGAACAACGCACTCTCTGAGCCGTGGTAGCTCAAGGGCTCGGTATTTGCCTTGCGATTGCTAAATAAACGCTGTCGACGAGCACGTACATGGTAAATGAATTGATATTGTTATACCGATATTTTAGTAGGTATATGAGGAACTTTTACACTTACTACTCGTGTTTCACAATGTCTGAATATACGAACAACCTTGGCAAGAGTTTGCAGAGTGCAAGTTACATGAACCACCCGCTGATGGCGCGCCGACCACCCGCGTGTTCACAACGTGAGATTCATGCAAAGGAAGCAAGTCAGGCGGATTGTTGATGACTACTCACAAAGTAGGTACATTATATACAGTCAACCCACAGTTAGCATGAAGACTACTAGCGAGCAAAATCGTTCGGTGACGATACTGAGTTGACGAATGAACACGTATTTTCGGAAAGATCAAGTAATATTTCACAATCACTTGAGGCGAGGCAGTGTGGTTCGAGTGCCGAGTTATTAAATAAGCAGCGACCTAGAGACTGAACATCGACTGCGTGGCAACGTCAATTTAGCTTTCTTAACCCATATATGCCCCGTGATTCGAAAACGAAACAAGATTTTGTACTTTCGTAAATCCATTGGAAATCCTTTGCTAGCGCAGTAAAATGCAAAAAATTGCCATCTAGTGCAAGGCTACGGAACTACCTTTTGTTTGCAACGAAGCGTTTTGAGTAGCGTTGACACTTGATTTAAATAGTCAGTAGTGCAAGTTGTGTCCTGTTTTACGTCGCGCAAAAATCATGTCGTCTCCCAAAAAGAAGTAAGTACTTGTTCAATTGAGTGAAACTTTGTACTTTTCAAAATTTTGTAGTAATTTTAGGTTAATAATGATCTTATTCGTATTTTTAAAATAAGTAAATACTATTTAATAAATACCTATAACGTCTTTATAACTTTCGTGTTTCGAAAACGATACGTTGGGCAAATATACAGGTGAGACTTTTACTAAATCTGTTTTTATGTTTTAGGTGGAATACGTGGTTAACTACAAATGAAATCGGTGATATTATCAATGATTTAGCTTCGGATGATGAAGCAACAGCAGCTGACATTTATATCGACCCTCCGGGTGATGGACTTGTGTCAGATTCGGACTCGGGGGACGAAAGAAACGTAAGTTTTGAAAATTTATCACGTGGTCAACTTTTGGCACCTGCTGAACTGACACTACATGGAAAAAACGTCAGTGACGGCAGCGAGTCTGAAGAAGAAGCTTTAGGCCCAATTACGTCACGTACTGTGACTGACTCACAGTCTTTATCAAACCGTAGGCGGAGCCGGTCATTGATAGATAATCCTCCTTTTCCACCTCCACCGCCACCTCGATCGCCTAAGGTAGTCCGAAAATGGGTAAAACGAGACTTATCCCAACTTCATGATGAGTGGATTGCACCATTACCTAGATCAGTAATTACCTTATCCGAAGCTTCAGAACCAGTTGATTTCTTTGAATTGTTTTTTAGTCACGAAGTTATCATGCACATTGTTCGTCACTCTGTTATTTATGCAGTTCAAAAAGGAAACCCAGGGTTTACCCTTTCTGATAATGACATTTATTGTTTCATCGGCATTTTGATATTGACCGGATATTCTCCACTGCCGCGACGTCGGATGTATTGGGAAAGTAACGAAGACACACACAATATCTTAGTGGCGAAATCCATGCGAAGAAACCGATTCGAAGAAATTCTTCGGCATTTCCATGTGGTCGATAATATCAACCTTTGCCCTAATGACAAAATGGCTAAAGTCCGCCCACTTTTTGATTTACTCAATAAAAAGTTTCTGCAATATGCCGTAATCGAAAAGAACATCAGCATAGACGAGTCTATGATACCTTACTATGGTAGACACGGATGTAAGCAGCATATCAGAGGTAAGCCTATTAGATTTGGCTTCAAAACATGGATTGCAGCCTTGCCCTTAGGATATTGCTTATACGCCGACCCATATCAAGGCCGCTATGAAACTTTTAGTACCGGGTTAGGACAATATGTTGTGCAAAAATTGATGACCGAGATTCAGAATGTCTACAAAGAAACAAGATTCTCAGTTTTCTGCGACAACTTCTTCACAGGATTACCGTTGATAACAGCAATGAAAGAAAAAAATATTTTAGTGACAGGTACAGTACGTAGTAATCGCACTGACAAGTGTCCTTTGAAAGATGAAAAATTATGTAAGAAGGAACAGCGAGGTTACCATGACAGCCGGCTCGATCTAAACAGCGGCATCTGTGCAGTGCGCTGGAACGATAATAGTGTAGTCACTCTGTTATCCAGTGAATACGGCGTGGAGCCTATACAAACTGCAAGGAGATACTCAGCTGCTCAAAAGCAAAGAGTAAATGTACCACAACCCAACGTTGTGCACCAATACAATCGTTTTATGGGAGGGGTTGATCGGTTAGATGCAAACATTGGTACCTATCGAATAGCAATTAGGGGCAAAAAATGGTATATCCCGTTACTTTTCTGGTTGATAGACGTTGCGGTCAACAATGCTACCCTACTAGCTCGTAATTTCTCCAAAGATATAGATACGCTGGAATTTAGACGTAGCATTGCCAGAACCTTACTTCAAAAATATGGCAATGATAAGTAACATCCGGGACCTAGCAAACGGGTATCTACAAATGTACCTACATCAGTACGAAAGCATAACGCTGAGCACATGATCGGCAGGGCACCAAGTAGACTGCGATGTGCCTATTGCAAAAGCCTTACAGTCACTTTTTGTCAAAAATGTAAAGTAAATTTACATTCTAAATGTTTCTCTGTATTTCATTCTTAATTTCATATTGCAATTTAGTTTAAAATAGTAATAAGTAATAAATAATCTCATTATACATCTTTGTTTTAATTACCTATAACGAATGTAGGATATTTGCCCGTCGTTTCGTTTTCGAACACCCCTAAAATACCTACTTACTAAAAATATTTTTTACTAAAATTAGTTAATACTGATATAAGGACTTATCAGCATAAACATATCTTGAAATAATCAAAATCAGAATTCAAAAATAGTTCTGGGCATATATGGGTTAAAAAAGACAGCCTAAAGAATTTTTCGCAATTAACGTTTTGCAAAAATAACAAGCAATGAAATAGAAAAATACAGGTGTTTTAAATTTAAAAAGAAATTTGGAAACATTTTTCATGTTTGTGTAAATAAAATGACCTACTTTTTCTGTTTTTTGAAAAAGAGGCGAGAGTAATCACTTCATTTATAACCATTACGCCGCTTGTTTGCGTAATTTATTCGGTAAAGTGGCAATTTTGCAAATACACTTGCTGATAGAACGATTCCTTTATTTCAAAAATGTTTTGTGAATCAACACAATTTGATACTCTACAACATTTAAAATGTAAATAGGCATCTAATATTCTGCCATGTTAAGATGATAATCTTGAGATATCAAGGCTTAAACTTTGGCGTAAACCCAAAGTTGATAAGCTTTTGTGAGATAAGTAATTTATACAGATTAAAAGCGTTTCTGTTAAAGATAAATAAACTTGAGAAATTCCTCTTATTTAAAAGTTTACTACTGTTCGTCACTTTTCTGCTCCGTTTGATAATAATATAAATAATATATATATATATACTTCCTTACGTTCCTCACGTGTCCTAAAATTTGCTAGACTTTCCATATTGAATTAATATTAGGTCTTCAAAATCGTTTATTTATCATTACAACCTTTCACAGGTCCACTGCTGAACATAGGCCTCCTCCAAGGAATACCACTAAGCAAGGACATTCCATCGAATTCCTGTATCGCTTACCAGGTAATAGGGACTACCCAACTAGTGGGAGACCTAGGGAGTAGATCCTTCGCTTACCGATAAGAGGATCGGTCGCACCAAAATATAATCCATAAAAAAATGAATCTGGATTATGCTAAACAATATTGATAATTGTTCAATAACTTACGTCAGGAGTTAACAGCCCTATTAGATAAGGCGTGATTATTCCTGAAATTGTTGAAGTACCATTTATCATTGCCGTTAAAGAGCCTGCATAATTAGGTGCCAAGTCGAGAGCGTTGACCTGAAATGATAACAATGAAATAAATTTAATTTCATGACAATACTTTTTGTTGTAGAACAAAGGAAAAATCTGTTGTAAGATTGCGAATATAACGCTGGTATAGCTCATAGCAAGTGAGTCATTATAAAAACAAAGAACCCGTCTGCAGTGTAACTAATGTAAAATATTTTATATTGAAATAAGACAAATTGAAATTTTCCTTATTAACACCAAGCTTGTCACAATTGTTACAATATACGATAATGTTCCCTTTTTTTTGTTGGTTGCAAGATTTTGACCGATTTGTTAGTCAAAATTATAAAAATGTCCTCTTGACCGAAGTTCGGTCACAGAAACCAGTTTTACTGGAGACTAGCTATCTGCGTAGGACTGGATCACGCGCACGAGTGTGTGTGTGAATACAGGTGTGCTCTTTATTCACTCACTCTCATAGTCCAACGGGACAGAAATCTAACATGGCCAAATAGATATCAGGTTTATTAACAACGGCTTTACGTGCTTTTCAAGACACGAGGTGAAACACCGCCAACTTTTTGACTTCGGATTGCTACTGAGAATATCTTTAATAACCAATTTTTAACGTCATAAAATTGCTTATGTTACCCGTGCGATTTATAAAAAAATGATTAAGATATGGTTTGGTCATCATAATGATCACCATCATTATCATTATCCTTCACAATCCCACTGCTAAACATAGCATAAGGTAGTGACTCCATTCGCGAACTGCTTTGAACTTCCCTTATCAGTGCAAGGCTGTCACTCGAAAACCTTTCTTTCCATCAGATGACAGTTCCTTTATGGCCGGCTCGTGCCAGTTCGGCTTGCTCAGATTTAGATTTATTGTCTGCCTATACTGCTGATATCTTCATCACAAATACTATCACGCACAGTAACTCCCAGCACAGCACTCTCAATAGCTCTCAGAGCGATCTTAAGCTTCCTCATTTGGCCAGCAGTGAAAGACCAAGTGTCCGATCCATATGTTTTCACTGGCAACACGTAGATACTGGTAATCCCGAATGTCCGTTAATTGACCTCCTGGTCGAAGATGCACATTTCGAGCGTACTGCTCCTAACAGCTACCGGTATAGATGTGATATGAACGTTACACGTGACCTTTGACTAGTCCATGTTCATCCCAAGAACTATATTCCAATCTTGTTCAGACTGACGTCTGCAATAACAGTTCCGAATAGTTTTAGTCCGCTCTCGGGTCGTTACACACACTTGCGCCCCAACAACGATGTCTACTTCCCGTAGAATACCTCACACTCACTGAAATTCACAGGTCACCGGAAAGACGCTGCCACTGTCAGTCTTCAACTTAGGCTCGGCGAGACTGATCACTGGCAAAGACTTTGGAAGCCTTTGAATCGCTTTTTCGGCACGAACTGTATTAATGTTGCGTTAGTCTCGCCCCATATATTTGTAGATCTGTCTGTTCAGTTGCCGATACACTGTCATATCTGTTGAAGACTGTAGTTTTATTTTTTTGTCTTTTAGCTAACAGATTAAAAGTTTGATAAGAGAATTTTCGAATTCTTCTGCGATGGTTCTAGAAAAAATTAGCCCGACCGTATGCGTTGTATTTCCAAATATGTAATTTACATTGTTCAATATATTGCAGTACTCTAGGCACTGAAAATGATTTTGAAATTTGAGCTGAAAGTTTTTGAGGACTTGAATAAAAGCACTAGCGGGACAAAGTGTTGACTTAGTGTTATGGCGGGTGGAAGGAAAAGGTGAGATCTCCCGCCGGGCAATATGTTCTATCCGGGGAGCGGCCAACGCTCCAAGTGGTAGTTCGGAGCTATTCTATATATACTGCTTTAACTTCGGAACTTTGTTAGGGCGATTTAGGCTTCGATGTGTTTCGCTTGTGGCGCGACGACAGCGCCGCTACATCACCCCCCTGCTCAAATCGGAGGTCGATAGTGCAGTCCGATTGCAAGTGCCAGGGATTGCCTTGTAGTCTGCGGTGAGTCGAGAAGAAGGCAAGTAATCTGCAAGAGTGCCGTGAAGCAGAGGCAAGCAGTAAGGCTCAGAGCCGTGCCGAATACTGTAGCGCAGATAGTAGCTTGAAGTAACAGGAAGCATTATTATTCCAGTGCTGCAATGAACCTTTATAAAGCTAAATGGCTTGCAGAATGTGAAGACTGCAGACAATATCTACTCGGAAGCGAATGAATGGGTTACTTGAGGATAATGACGAAGGTTTTGAAGTTGTAGTTTTCGAAGGTTGTTAGTTGCGTGTTCATATCACGTCGGTTGGTCACCAATGTAGCCGGTGAAAGAAAAAGGGGAGATCTCCCGCCGGGCAAGGTATTCTGCCCGGGGAGCCACCAACGCTCCAAGTGGTAGTTCGGAGCTATTCTATATAATATACTGCTTTAACTTCGGAACTTTGTTAGTGCGATTTAGACTTCGATGTGTTTCGCTTGTGGCGCGACGACAGATATCCATGTAAATTTGTCAAGTCAATATCATGTGTTTTGTCGAACCCTCGAGAATCTAGAGCTTATACATATTCCTCCACTTCTTCATCGTTGTTTGCCAAGGTTGGTGCGTAGACCTGTACTTTTTACCGTTAACGGATACTATTTAGTGACTCAGTATAACGTACACACAGTGTTAATGGGAGCTTTGTGGACGATAAACCTGACATCTGCTCGGGACTGATGGTCGTACTCCCGGTGATAGAATGCTGCTGCCTATCTCTGGATGTAATTGTTTCTCTCTGTCGTCTCTTACGACAACCACTACACACGGTTAAAATACATGCATACGTAAATACCAGCCCTTTAGACTCGACGGTAGTGTGATGAGTAGATGATGATGATTTTCAAACACAATTAACAATGTTCAGTATAACTTCATATTATTGAGTGCCTCGCTTTTCCTATGTAATCATAACAATTTAGATTTACATCAAAATATCAAAATAACCAAATTTGAACTTAATAGTACGTTTCTTAATGTGTATGTGTGTGCGTGTGTGTTTATGCGTGCGTGCGTGCGTGCGTGCTTGCGTGCGTGCGTGCGTGCGTTCGTGTGAGCGTACGTGCGTGCGTGTGAGCGTGCGTGCGTGCGTGCGTGCGTGCGAGCGTACGTGCGTGAGTGCGTGCGTGCGTGCGTGCGTGCGTGCGTACGTGCGTGCGTGCGTGCGTTCTTGTGTGCGTGCGTGCATGCGTGCGTGCGTGCGTGAGTGCGTGCGTGCGTGCGCACGTGCGTGGGTGCGTGCGTGCGTACGTGCATGCGTGCGTGCGTGCGTGCGTGCGTGTGTGCGTGCGTGCTTGCGTGCTACGTGCGAGCGTGCGTGCGTGCGTGCGTGCGTGCGTGCTTGCGTGCGTGCGTGCGTGCGTGCTTGCGTGCGTGCGTGCGTGCGTGCGTGCGTGCGTGCATGCGTGTGCGTGTGTGTGTGTGTGTGTGTGAGTGAGAGAGAGATAATGTTTTTGTTTATGTGTATGTGAATGGGTGTGTATGTGTGCAAGTTTATGAATGTGTCTCACCTACTGATTTGTGTTGTATCTGTCTATGTTATTCTACTACTATCACCAAAATGTCTTCCACGTCATCATAATTAAGAATGGGAAGACATTCGCTCAGAGTTTTTCTACACTCAAACATTTGCATGGGGTAAATCCATTTGTTACATGAGAGGCTTGAGCTATATTTTGTCATTTGGCAAAAACTGTATGTGCAGGGTATGAGGGGGCCACGATATCGTACTGTCTTTTTGTAAGTTTGGTATTGTCAATGGGCAACGTTTTGTGATATCTTAGTATCATGTGTAAAATATAAAATTTCGTAACGGAGAGCAGCTTAGATGTTTGGTGTAGTGTTTCGGTGGAAAACATATAGGGCCTACAGTACAGTACTTTAATCAAGGATCTTTGCGCCCTTTCTAGATCTTTATAGTATGGTTTAGCTGCTTCTCCCCATACCGAGATGTAGTAGATTATTACGGATTGGGCTGGTGAGATATATAATTTATTCAGTAGTTTGGTACTCATCACGTGCCTCAAGGATTTGAAAACCCACATAAACATCCTTACCCGACCTATAGTTAGTTCTAGGTGTGGCTACAATTTAATCTCTGATCCACACAGATTCCGAGGTGTTTAACACAGCTAACTTTCTGAATTATTGGGCAATTACATGTGTTAGGGAAAGGTGTAGCACAGGAATGAATTTTGATTTCATAATTAGGTGACGGCTGTGAATTTATATATGGAGTGAAGCATACATAAAGAGATTCTCACTAAGCCATTGCCTAACTCTAGCATAATTTAAATCAATAAATTTAGCAATCTACTTGCGTACTTAATAGTAAATTCATTTCCATTTCTGTAGATACTTTTCAGCTTTTAGCTGATTTTTCTTTTTCTTTTTAACGTATGATCCTTACGTTATAGAAATCGCTGAATCTGTTGTGGCAAACTCAGAATATATTACTTAGGAAATGAAAACATTTATAAAGCTTATGCTCACCTTCATTCCGCTATAAAATCCTCCCATGAGAGCCATGGAGGCAATAAAATAAGCAACAGCTGTGAAGCGATCGCAGCCAGAATATGAAGCCAAAATAATACAAATAGCAGGACCCGTAGCAGCTAATAAAAAAAAAACACATTACGATATGTTTTGAAACTATCGATTGAAGGAAATATTGCTGAAATATCAAATATACAGGGTTATATTTCAAAGAGTAGCAAAATGTTAAACTAAAAATTCAGACACCTATACAAATATGATATTTTTATGTAGGTTATTTAATGGATATTTAATGCATTTGCGTTGTTTATGGTTAGTTATTGCGGTTTTTGAAAATACGAGTAAATAAGGCTTCTACTTTTATTTGAAATTATCCCAAATTGAATGTGACTTATGGGCAACAACTCTTAAGAATATGTGTGTGCGCAGTAAAATCAGTTAAAATAATGCATTACCACGCATTTTGAATTTAAAAGATAAAAAGGATAGAATGTTTAAAATATTTTGTAATTAATTTTTCTTCAGCATTTGTCTGACGCTTCTCTGCAAATTTGGTCGGTTATTGAAAAATAACCTTGTATGCGTCCCATAACTGGGCACAGGCCTCCTCTCATTTCTGAGAGGGGTTTAGGGCAAGGGCAAGCAATATCCCACGCGATGCCCCAATGCGTGTTGGCGAACTTCATATGCCTTCGAAAAAACATTTTTTTTCTTATTTCTCAGACATGCAGGTTTTCTCACGATGTTTCCCTCACCGCCGAGCACGCGGTAAATCAGCACTTATAATTGCAATTAATAATTTCATTAGTGCCGGCGTGAATCGAACCCAGGTTATTAAAAATTTATGTTAAATAAAAGTATTTAAGCCATTTGGTTTATTTATTTTATTGAAATTTCTTCAATACTGATAAAAAATATTAAAAGAAATTTTAAAAAACTGAAAGAAATTTTCCATCTTAGTCTTTAGGCGTGACAACGTATCTGAATATTGATTCATAATGGAGGATAAATATAGATGCCTTACTATATATGGGCCACAGTATTCACTTGCCATCAGGTGGACTATTCGCTCGTTTGCCATCCTTACTTTTATAAAAAAAAGGTATGTAGTTTAACAGACAATTTTAATTACAAACCTATTGTTGTATGAATGATCCTTCCTGTTTTAATCGAATGCCATCCATTTTTAACACACCAATCACATACCCAGCCAAATATAAAGGAACTAAACCACATAGCAAGGTACGGAATGGCAGTTAATGTGCCTGTAGTAGCGATGTTAAATTTGAGCACATCTGTCATGTATTTCGGTAAATCAGTAACCATTGTATAGTAGCCCCAATCGTGGCCAACCTAAAAGAAATATGTCACGAATATTTCAATTAATAAAGTCATAGCGCACTAAATTTTTATGATTTGTGTAGGTAGTATAATAGGATGTGCGAAAATTAAAGTAAAAGTACTGACGAAAATTTTCAAGACGATTCAAGGTTACTTTGTTTGATTTAAGAAAAATCTAATGAAATGTCGACGCAACTTAAATTAAAAACAATTTGAATAAAATGAATATTATATTTAATATTATATATATTAGTATTCATTTTATTCAAATTATTCTTAATTCAATTCGCGTCGTCATTTTATTAGATTTTTATTAAATTAAACAAAGTACCTTGAACTGTGTAGAAAATTTTCGTTTAGTGAATCAAGTTGTCAATAAACTCAATCTTTTTCTTATCTCCATAGTAGATATATGGTGAAGGCATGAGGAAACAAATCACTTAAATCTTATCAATCAAATCTTATCAAATGCGTAAGTTTTAAACAAAATTTAAGAAAAAAAATCGTTTTATCCAACAAATAATAGCAAAAACATCACCAAAATGCAAGGGATAGAACACGCCTTACTATTAACAAAGATATAAGTTTGAGTTTACTTATAACTTCAATTTCCATGAGTCATGAAATTCACTCATTTAATTGTAATTATATAATTTATTTTAAGCAAAATATAACAAAACGCGGTGGCAACATGATTTTCCACATCGTACACGAAGCACTTGAAATTTGTGCGTAATGCGTAATGGCAAAGCATCGTCACCATCAAATTTCCATATTAAAGTTCATAAAAAAATACAATACTATACCATAACTTTTATGTTCGGAGCATTTTAATTCAACTTAACAAAGCTAAAGGGAACTAATATATATTATGTATGTTGTGTTTTAAGAAACTTACAGCAGCAAACAAGAGAGCCCACACGGGAACTGATCTTACAATAGCCTTCCAGGGGACAGGGTCTCTCACGCTTTTAGTATCGGCACTTGTGACGGTCTCGTTTAAATATTTAAGTTCTTCGTCTGTTATATAGGGATGTGTGTTCGGTGTACTGTAGCAAAGAATGCTCTGGAAAAATATTTAATATCATGATAATAATATCATAGTAATAAAAATATCCGGGCTCGATCCCCGCCGGCACCAATGAAATTGTTAATTGCAATTATAAGTGCTGATTTACCACGTGCTCGGCGATGAAGGAAAACATCGTGAGGAAATCTGCATGTCTGATAAATAAGAAAAAATATTTCGAAAGCATGTAAAGTTCGCCATTACGCATTGGGGCAGCGCGGCGAACTATTCCTTGTCCTGAAACCCTCTCAGAAATGAGAGAAGACCTGAGCGCAGCAGTGGGACATATATAGGCTGACTTTTAAAAAAAAAATCTTAAAAATACAATATTTTTATTTAATTGGGTGACAAGCGAGCTAAGCCGCAGTATACTATCTGACGGTAAGTCCCATGAAACAGGTGTTGATGAACCAACATTAGAAAAAAATATCACAGTCACTTTAAATTTAATTTAAAAAATTTACTTTTCAAATAGAATAGCATAATATTAGTTAAAGCTTAGTTTGGTTCTTACCATGTATAATATATTATGTAAAAGAACTGTTTAGTTAAAAGCTCCTCTGTAGTATTTCCTCTACTTTTTATTACATTTATATATTTTCTCTTGAAATAGCTGATTATTTATAAATTCAAATGCCTACATATCTAATATATTTTAAATTTAAAAAATCAAATGATTTTTACGTGGTAGAGCCATGCTGCAGCTATATTAGTAGCATAATTGTAGCACTAATGGGTCAGCTCGACCGGGGAAGGACCACGCTCTCACAGAAGACCAGCGTAAAATAGGACCTTAACGCTGCTGTGTTTCGTATGGTGAGTTTAGAGAACCGGGGACCCTTTTTACTGGAAACGAGGCATTCCATCTTAGTCCCCACCGGTGACAACGCATCTACATTTTGGTTCATAATCGAGGATAGATGTAGATGTCTATGGCCCACAGTAACCACTTACCATCAGGTGGACAGTGTGCTCGTTTGTCACCCTATGCTATAAAAAAAAAAAACTTCTACTTATTCCTTGTTGTATTTGTTGTTGCGATGTTGCCCTCAATTAAAATATATTTCTTGAACAACGTGGGTTAGGAACTGAATACAACAAGACACTTCTGATTCGCAAATAAAGAATGGTTTTAGTTCAGAGAGCCAGAGTTACGTACCGTTTTACTAAGCGTGTGTACCTACTACTGGACAAATAGTTAGATTTTATATCCTGTTATGTCAATAAAAGAATTACTAACCCAGAATATAAACCATAAAATCCCGAAACAGCCGAAAAAGTAAAAGACATTGGCCCAATCTCCATCGCCAGCCATTAGGAAACCGGACATGAATGAGCCGAAGATGTTTCCTATCTGCGCCCCACCGAAAACAAGTGCACCTTGACGTGACCTTTCATGTGGCGGCACCCATCGCGCTAGTACTATCATCAAAGCGGGCATCGTTGGGCCCTGAAAATGATTGACAAGATTAATAAGTAAAAATTGTAAATGCAAATATTGATTGAAATTAGATCAATCCAGTAACTAGTAAAAGATAATAATGTCACTGTCCCGGTCCTTTCAACCAAAGCGATAACTTCAAATATTTAATTCACAAAGTAACTATCATCATATATAAAAAACAAAAGTAGTTTAATAAAAATATGAATTATAAATATACATTATGTAGAATTACTAGGCATAAACACAAGCTAATAATACCAGTCATTCGTCTCCTCAGAGTCAGTAATAAACTCCTCGGGCAATGCATACAAAATGGTTTAACAAAAAAAAAATATACAAGGTCAATTCCAAAACCAAATTTAAATATTTAAACAAACATAGACTCTTATAAAAGGATTAGATATTATAAAATGTTAATAAATACACGTTTAAATATTGTTTTTAAAATTATATTTATAAATAACTCTAATAATTATTAACTGTAAATTTTAATTGTAATTGCTTTAAAAAAGGTCTGTTGGTTTTCTTCCTGTTTATTTCCAAAACAAAGAATTTTCCGAACGACAACACGTTTTTAAAAGATTTAAATCTTAATATAGATAATACTCGTTAATAACAAAGTATTACATTATCTGTTACATTATTAAATATTTCAAGTCTATTGTTTTCATGATAACGTACGTATAAATTTGTAATTTTTATTTTGGCGAGACCTTGGAAACGAATAAGGCTAGAAAAGTAAAATACGTGTTCCATTATAAATAAATACCTATATTCACGGGAACGTAAATTATTATGCTAAAGACGAATAATTCAAAGGGCTTTCTATCCATTAAGGTCGTCTCAAATACAACTACTTTAACCTGATTCAAAAAGGAGGAGGCCTTTACCGTATTTATTTTACTCGACTTTTTTGCCGATTGTTTAACGATTCTATTTTTTTTTAATTAAATTCATTATACCGCGCATGTGGCCCTGTTTGAAAAAAAGAGGTGATTTTTTTTGTAAAGTTGTACCAGCGTTAAAATCACTTGAAAGGGTCAATTTAATACCGACTGCAAAAGTACTAAAAAATATTAAATAATTTTCACATAATTTCAACACTTTTCAGGAAGTTCAGGGCTTTCATTTTTGATTTATTTTGTCTCGACTTTAGAAGCTATTAAATGATGTGGAATATTTTTATTGTTTTTAGGGGTTTTAATTTTTTAAGCATACATAAGTTACAATATATCAATACATACCCAACAACATACCTAATAACATTTTAAAATTTAAAAAGCTTACTTCGCCCATTCCTTGCAGAACTCGGAGTATAAATAACCACGTTGCTCCACCGGCTTTCACCACAATTGGCGTGAGAAGAGTAAAAATTGCTGTGCTTAGAAGACCGATACCTAGTGTCCATTTTCCCCCGTACCTTTCAGCTAAGTATCCTCCTGGTACGTGCGTTATGGCATAGCCATAATAGAAGCCGCTTAGTATAAGACCTTGTGTTGATTCAGACCAATCAAATATCGCGTACTGAAACAAAACACGGTAGAGAAAATTAAATGTTATAGCTCCGATTTTTTAGCAACAATACTTACGCTGGATTTAATGTTGGTAATTGGTAAAAAAACAAATACTTTTACTTAGCTTATTGATAAACACATTATAATTCGATTTATGACCACACATTTCTAAATCGTGGATGAAAAGTTACAGCCTATATACGAGTACGTCTAACTGACGGGCAAAGGCCTTCCCTCATTTCTGATAGGGCTTTAGGGCAAGCAGTTGTCCGCCACGCTGCCGCAATGCGTGTTGGCGAACTTCACATGTCTTCGAAATATATTTTTTTCTTATTTCTCAGACATGCGGGTTTCCTCAAGATGTTTTCCTTTGCCTCCGAGGACGTGGTAAATCAGCACTTAAAATTGCAATTAACAAATTTATTGGTTCCGGCGGGGATCAAACCCGGATTGCTCGCGTACTGTGAAGGTTACAGCGAGCACTAGCCATCTGAGCTACCACGGCTCTTTTCAAATTCCAAATAATATCTAATTTATTTAATGACGCATTGCACACGTTTAAAACTTACCGGTTTAAGACTGACCGTTCCGTTGATCAATATTTCACTATCATCGGGACATGCATCGGGATCATAATGCGACTCTTCACTCTTTGTATTATTTACCATTTGGGTGACAGCAAGATTGAGACAGACGCGCATAGTATATGCGTTGCATACCGCCAGTAAACCCATGATGCCAAGTACATATCGCTGGGGAATTACGAACACTGATCGAAACAAAATTAAATTTTTGAATATACACATCATTTTTAAACATTGAATGTTGTCTTAATTATAAAATTCTTAAAATAATTCTAAGCAGGGCCGAATGAACCTAAAGGCAGAGTAGACAATTTGAATATACCTTACCCATAAACTAAGCATGGTCCTTATGGCCATGCCTCGAAGTAAACGCCATCCTAAAAGATCGCCCGATATCACACTTTCTGGTATGAAATTAGCCACTCAAAATCTCATCTCATAAAACGCTCGTATTTTGAAATAAATTACAAAAGTTCCTATGTTTAATGTTCAGAATTCAAATGCGAATCTATACTAATATTATAAAGAGGTAAAGTTTCTAATTATGTGAGTTTGTTTGTAGGAAATAATCTCTGGAACTACTGAACCGATTTTAAAATTCTTTCATCAGTGGAAAGCTACATTATTCTTGAGTATCATAGACTATATTTGGTTGTGATTAATAGTATTTTTTTAATGTGAAATAACAATATTTCTCAATAAATTCCGAAAACAAATTCTTAGTACTAAGAACCACACAAGATAATTTCATTACAAGTAAAAATGTTTTACGCCAAACAAAGTGGGCACGGGTCAGTTAGTATTCTATAAAGCCGTTTTTAATAAAATTGTTGCCTCATTATACAACGTCAGGCGTCCTCAAAAGTCTCTCTACGGAATGATTTAGGAGCGAGTCAACCTTTGAAATGGGTTGCGGTAATAAGTTGTTTGTGAAAACACTCATACTTTGTTAACTTTCCAAATTATAATGTTGAGAAATTTACATACATAAGTAAAATTGTAATGTCTATGTGTAGTTTTCCAATATTTAGTTTTAGCTTAGTTTTTGTAAATGAATTCGATATAGATATATAATTATAAACTAACTTTAAATAATCTTGTTCATCCGTCTGTACGAACCGATTTAATCAAAAACAATTGAATGAATCGACACAAAATTTAAAACTTTTTGTGAAGTAACCTTGGAATCATGATAGTCTTTGTTAAAGTAGCATATCTCAAACGGTTCCAAAAATATAATTATTTGTCTTACATTTACGCGAATAAATAGGAAAATCAAATAACGCTCCGATGCGCTAATATCTCAGAATTTTCCATTTATAATAAATAGTTAAGGGTTAATAAGATCATGTTACTCTACCTCGTGGCTCTACTTATATAAAAATTGCATGCTTTTGAATTAATAAATTTCTGAAAATATATTTATTTATAGCTTCGGAACGTAGTAATAAAAATTAATACTTACATTTTGATATTAAACGTCGCCATCTTGGTATCATTTCAACGTAGATTATGAATAATAGGGAAACTAATGTCAATTCAGTCCTGAAAATGAGAAAAAATCACATATTGAAAATTTTGAAATCAACAAACGTATGAGTGTTATGTTTTTTTTAGTTTATTTATCAGATCAAAAGAAGAGAATACATGTATAGGTCTAATTAACATCTAAAAACCACGGAGGTTTGACTTGATGCTAAATAATTTAGTTTAAGTCAGCATATTATGTGCAAGACACAGTCTAAGTAAGTTGTTAGGTATGTGAATGTACATCAGGGAGGCCCTTACTAAGTATTTAAAACCTGTTGAGTGATAGGCAGACAGATTTCTCTAAGGGCAAGGGTGAAAAACGAGCACACAGTCCACCTGATGGTAAGTGGTTACTATGGCCCGTAGATATCTACATCTATCCTTTATCAAGAATCAAAAAGCAGATGCGTTGTCACCCCTGAGTATTAAGACGGAATGTCTTGTTTCCAGTAAAACGTCTCCGGTTCTATACACACACCATACGAAACACAGCAGAGTTTAGGTACTGTTTTACACTGGTATTCTATGAGCGTGGTCCTTTCGGTCCTTCGGTCGGTGGAGCCGATTCATTCGTGCTACAACCATTATAAAGCTGTAGCGCGGCGCTACCACGTTTAAAAAGATATCAAACATTTAAAAAATACATTATGAACCTTTTTATAAAAACTAATTATCAGAAACATGGTGCTCAGGAGAACCTTGGTACTGTACACGTGTTAAGCGCTCTTCGTGAATTTCACAGTATACGAGCCACACGGGTTCAACCCCTGCTGGCACCTATGAAATCGTTAGTTATAATTTTAAGTTCTTTACCGCGTGCTTAGTGGTGAAGGAAAGCTGCGGGAGCAAACCTAGATATGTAACATATTAAATATTATTCAAGGACATTCAAATACCGCTAACACGCACTGGTGCAGCGCGACGGACTAACAAGGGTTTTGGCCGTGTAATGGCGATATAAGAATATTTGCTACCCCATATCATTCCACGGACGTTGTTAGAAGCTTTGGAGGGGAAATGAAACATATCTTCCAGGTAACAACTTAAACTATGGTAAATATCCCGCTAAAGGTGTAATCTATGGAGGAACTCCATGTTCAGCAGTGACCTTTGATAGTATCTATTGTTGTGTGTTCAAATCACACACAGAACAAATGATGTATGGCATACAATAATTAATAATTATAGGATGTAACACGCCTTCATAATATGGGTGAAAATCATAGTTTAATCCTGAAAAAATCAATATTCCCCCTACATACAAGGTCTGTTGTTGTATGTGTCTTGTTACCTTGTATTTATAATATCATTCAATGGTACACATTTGGTTAGATAATTACAGCAAAATTGTAAGTATGTTTTAATGTATAATTAAATATTATGAAACATTTTACTACGACTATAAACTACCTTTAGATTAATACACTCTATACAGTAATATAGATAATTCCATTGTTAGATGAGATTGATATATTTATCGCAGTGTTATATTCTGAATAAAGCTAAATAAACACACATTACACTTCAAGTGTTCTGGTATTTCTTCGATCAATACGATTATCAGAGGGGAAATCCTTTTGTATTGTACTGGAAGTTCTAGATACGTACTGCTCTGTATAATTGGACAACGCTCCTTAGAGTTAATAACACAAAGAGATATCGATATTGATCTCTTAGCAACCCTGTTATCACTTGTCACGAACATCTGTCGAGTGGCCAAGTTATATAATCTATGGGCTAAGAATAACATTTAGAACTCTACTACTCGTATATGCACGTTTGTATTTTGTAGTGTTGATTTATTGTTCTAAAAAGTAAAGAGTGATTGAATAAATAAAAATAATGCAACTTCCATAATTATCACTCTTTCGAAATAGTGTGTTACATACATTAAAAAGAAAACACACTCATTCATTATAATTTATTATGTCCTACTATCAAGTAATAGTAATCACTATTATTTGATAGTAGGACACTTTTTCTTCTTCGTAGTCCATCTAGGAGATAACACACCTTCTAACCTATCTCTATCGCCAAGCAGCAGTGCCTGCAGGAGCACCAATTGCAGGCTGTGAGACATACCATCTTCGTTCTCGGAGGAACATCCTTTGATCGGCTCTAAATCGTTTATCGTTTTAATTGTAAAGAAAAAACCATGGAAATATTGAAATTACAGTGCATTAGATTGCGGCGACGAGCAGCACAAAATAATATGGGTTCCTTAATTATGAAAGCGGTTACCTAAAATATTATAATAACAAAAAAAGTGTATAATAAGAATATTTCGGACGAATTCTGCTAATGAAACCGTTTATCAAATAAACATAATTTGTTAAAATAACACGTAAGTAATCACAATTATGTAAAAGCTACTGAGGTTGACGGGCGATGGCTCTACCTAATTGTTACGCTCGGCAAGCGAAATGCTAAATATTACCGAACCTGGGTCACGTCTCTCTTTAGACCTTGCCGTTTAAAGTTTGCTATTTTATCACACTTATTCCTAATCTTAAGGATGAAACTAGAGAGATAAAGAGGTGATAATATTTAAGATGATATTATTATGTATATTTTAAACCGTTATACGATAAACATTGAATTTATTCTAAAATATGAAAACTTACCAGAACAATAGCAAAAAATGTATTTGAAATATTACAATTTGGATGCTTCGCCTTATAATGTACGCAACAGTTGCCAATGTTTCGATACATAACGTATTGAAGCCACTATCTAAAATTCAAGCTATTTGCAGAGTATTTTTCAACCGGCTAACGTTTGCAAATCTATATATTTTTTATGTTGACTGATGTAAATAAAAAAAATGTAATCAAAATATTTTTATAGCATCCACTAGATTTTTTAATTGATTTGTATCAACCAACCTTTTATCTACATATGCAAAAAATCATTTAATACAAATTACACAAAGTATAAAATTCGCTCCAACGAAAATTTCTTCCAATAAAGTGATATAAAATAAAAGAAAACGATAGAAAACTAGAACACTTCACAATCACGCTATGCATTTTATCTCTTTGTCTACAATGACATTGAAACTCAGACGGTTTACGCCGAATATGAACATTGCTTGATTATCTTACACATTCCACGTAATTCTGGCCAAAACAGAGTTAAAGCCAAAACTATATTAATTCATAGTTTTTATGATACCTGCACAACAGTTCTTAGATTTTGATTTCGTCATTGTTGAAAGATTATACCGCTAATAATTTGTCAATAATAACTGGGTGCATTGTGCGAGTGAAAAATGGTAAAACTATTTTTTATGTAAAGTTACTTCTCAAAATGTATGTAATCGACCATTTATACACGCTAGTATAGGCTTGTGGAACTAATTTTTAATATCTCCTATTATTTGGACATAATGAATATTATTCATGACACCATCTCTTCAAAATACAATCGATCGTACGTGAAGGGGCGTTGCATTAGCTGTTGTTATGACAATAGTTGATTATTTGAATGAGTAGTTACGATCTACTTATCGTGGAATGTTGTGTACCGACTGTGTGGCCCATTGATTAATTTGATTGGTCGTTAACACAGTTTAAGCGTTTAGCCGCGGCACTGTTGGCACGGGTTTGATCCCGAACAAAACGAGTATTTGATTGCCCTATAAATAACTGTATCAGTTCTTAGCATTTGTTCGTATGTAGTTTTATATCCAAACCAAACCAATATAGCCTATTAAATCCAATGCTGAGCATAGGCCTCCTTCATTTTGTAATTTTGAGTTGGTATCAGGAGGAAGCTGATCCCTATTTCCTGTTTTAGTTACCCGCTGTTGCCTCTTAGCACACTCACGCGACGTTATGGATTATGGATATTTTTACACTGCCACTACACGGTAAAAAATTTATATGCTGTTTTTTTTTAAATAATAACTATCTGGCTGCTCTGTGGTTTCTGGTTTTAGGCTTTATACAGTAAACATTAAGCTAAGTATAATTAGTGAAAATTTTGCTAAAATTAAAAGCCAAAACACATTAAAATCGAAATAAAGTAATGATTACTTTATTTCGATATTAATGTGTTTGCTATGACGTCAACACTCTCGCGGGCACGTGAGTTTAAAAACTGATAACGTCTAAAATTTATACAAAACACTAAATTGGTCAACCTCGGGGAAAATGTGCTAAAACTCATTTACTGAGCGAAAAATGTTTATTGCAGCGCTAGTAGCAAGTTAACACCATAACTTCTATCTAAAAACCATTTAAAACAATATATAGAAACCGTATCTAAATCGGTAAGAGGAATGTGAAACTAAAGGTCTCCGTTTGAATGCTAATAAAACTAAGGTTCTGGTATTTGAAAGGGACGAAGAGAGAACGAAGTGTGAAATATGGGTAAATCAGGAATGTCTAGAACAGGTAAATGAAATTGTATACTTGGGGAGTGCTTTTAGCCGGGATGGAAGATGTGATTTAGATGTGGACAGGCGTGTCGCTGCCGGGAACAAAGTCAATGGTGCCCTGACTGCGTTAGTCAAAAGGCAAGGCGTAGCGAAGAGTGCACGCCTTGCAATACATAACGCAGTGTTGGTACCGACTTTGTTATATGGCAGTGAAACCTGGGTATGCCAGAAGAAGCATAAAAGTAAGTTGAATGCAGTGGAGATGCGATCTCTTCGTAAAATGTGCGGCGTTACCATGGCCGACCGAAAGCGAAACGAAGAGATTCGCAATATGGCAGGTTTGAAAGATGACCTTATCACAAAAATTGATAAGGGCGTGCTTCGGTGGTTTGGGCACGTTGAGCGAATGAGTGAAGACCGAATGGTGAAGAAAATATATAGCGCGAAAGTTAATATTAAAAGGTGTCGAGGTAGACCGAGACTAACTTTCGAAGACCATGTGAGCAAATTGCTCGAAGAGGGTAGGGTCAAAAGTACTCGGATACCTAGACGTGCATGCATGAAGAAGATAATGAATCTGAAAGAAGCGAAAGAGGTTTGTAAGAATCGTGACACTTGGCGATCTGTTCTCTCT